GGATGAACACTACTTCTTCTTTTGTTACTTCCTTTAGGGGTTGCTGCAGTGTGTTATCTGCCTCCCTACCATCCTCCTCTGTCCCACATGACCACCTCCTTCACTACATCCATGAATCTCCTTTGAAGTCTTCCACTTTTCTTCCTTTCTTTCAGCTCTTTATTAAACATTATTTGTCCAATATATCTACTATCCCTCCTCTGCACATGTCCAAACCATCTCAGCTTTGCTTTTCAGACTGTCCCCAAACTGCCCAGCTCCCACATTCTCAGTTTGAGACTGACATCATGGAGATATTTGCTCCATAATAAGGAAATAATGACATCCCACAGCCCGCTGATAGCCTCATTTCCTCCTTTTTTTCCTTTTCATCCCTGTGAGTTGTTCATGCTGTAGATATAAAGAAGTGGTTGCGGTACTTTAGCATCTACGGAAGAAGAGTAAGTATTAACGGAGTAACTGTTCTGTTTTGGGAGTTTAGGTGACAGGAAATTTCAAACATCTCAACAAAAATCAGCTCACTGAGCCCCTCTTTGATCACTCAGGACCTGGTGGTGCGTGGACAAGGAAAGGTCAAGATTTTTCTTTTAATTCGTCACATACCATATTTTGATACTACATACCTTGAGCTGGGGGTAGATTTGCCGGATCATGGTAAGGTTGAGGGCATTCAGGACTTTGGGTCTGTTCATGGTGATCACACCGGTTCTGCCCACCTTCTCCAGGAGAACCTCCGGTTCTGCATGACTCGACATCTGTAGAGCAGAGACAGGAAACCTCTATAGAAATATCTCAAAAACACTGAAAGACAAACACATTTCAACATCCACTCATCCAGGTAATGAGGAAGCAGTACAACCAAATGTTGGGGATCAGGATCCAGGAGGCTCCCTGATGCCCAACACTCTTCAAATTCTTATAGTGTGGAGGAGTAGTGGCTCTACTCTGATTGGACTCCTCAATCATTTAAACAAATCAGGACGGCGCAGTTGGTTCGACCCTGCAGATTCTGCTGCACAGCCTCTTAACAGGTTATGGACCCCAGACTGACAGCAGTACTTGGCTCTGATTTTAGAGAAGTTCAGTACAGCTGTGAACCCATGGTGCAGCTCAACTTGCTGCCGTTACCTTAAACTCAGCTTGGATGTGATTTGGGGATGGCTGGGATTTAAAGTGATTATCTTTTGCATTTGCTGGCCCTATTTTTTATTCTTGTTGCTTAAAAAAAATTACTCTGGGTGATTTTCCTTTGAAGGCTGAAACCTGTACACTCTTCAGCAGTTGGTTCTCCTCGTTTTTGCCAGCAGATACTTGTTTGTGTTGTGTTGTTGCTCATTACTAGTTTAAGTTTTTTTAAACTCAATGACATCAAAACAAATTTTTCTCTTGCACCTTCCCTCCAGCTTATCCTGCAAACTTACAGTTCCCCCCTTTAAACGAGCCAAGCTAAAGGCCATCATCACTTCAATAGAGGGAAGAGTCAATGTATGAAGGTTACTGACAGGCATGACTAATGATGAAAACTGATAAGGTTTTATTGATACCAATGCCATTACTTATTGATCCAGTTCCCTCACTAATTTATTTATGATGTATTACTCCAGTAACCCCCAGTGTTTCCAACATGAACCAGAAGAAAGATGTAGTAAACTCAGCAGGGAAGCAGATTCTGTGTTCCTGCGCATGTCTGATGTGAGTGAAATAATCAGAGGAGGCAGAGGACCATGCTGCTGCTACAACTTCTCACCATGTGAGCCTGGATTCGCTGCAGCCTGCAGAGGGACCTCAGTCTGGAGGAAACAGCAAACACACGGAGCATTGATGACGGTTAATAAGCAGATCTGAATTAACTGGTTCAACTTACACCGCGGGGTAGCAGATACCCCGGCTACATACACACAACCAGTCCCAGCAGGTGAGTGCAGGAAATCAGCTGACAGCCTTAAATCGGTGAACAAACCTGCTGGGTCACTTTAGTGTATCTACTTGTGCCGTCCATAGCTCGTTTATGAGCAGAGACGGTCATTTAAATGTGCCAGAGGAAAAACAAGCCGGCTGCACCTCCCAGGTGAGGCTCGTACCTGTACGCAGACGTCAGGACCGTCAGGGACATGATGATTTTTGACCTGTGCCGCGGGGTCAATAGCAGAACCTCTACAGCCTCGAGTTTCTACGTTTACTTCCTGGAAGCGGGGATGAGCTCCCGCTGATTGGTGGGTGTCGTTGACGCCAGAGCGTCTCTCCGCGGTGTGTTTGTGCCACACCGCCACCTGCTGGCGAGTGAAGACGACACACATATTTATTACAGACTCAAAGGCCCAGATTAAGAGAAACACGTGGCATAAAAAACAAAACACAGAGAACATTTTAGTAAAGAAATACAGATGTGCTAGTCTCTCCACAGCTGGAATGGGTAACATGTGGTACTAAAAACTTGTATTACGCACCAAATTGATTTTATATGCAGAAGCATTGAGCCTGAACTCAAACATGATTCTGCACCTTCAATAAACCAGAAAAAAGCAAAAAATTTGACTTAAAGCAACTAAAATATATAAAATCAAAGTTTTTTAATTCAGATAATTCATTAATAAGGAAAATGTTCACCCTCATTGATGTTCACCCGAACTGACGCATCAATGAGGTCTCTTTATTAATAGTCACTTTGTCCAAAAGTGCTGGGTTTGCACAAGTAAGTACGTATTTTTTGTGAGTAATACCTGCCTCTCCTTTGCTGGAACCCAATAATCTGCCTCTTTGTCTGCTTTTGTGTGCTTTAAACAAGCTAAGTGAATTTTTTCATGTCTGATATCATGTGTCGTAGTTCCAGGGTTTTGTTTCTGGCTCTGGTTTTGATTTTATTACCACTCTAGTTATGTTGAGCTTTCCTGTCTCTAACTCTTTAGTGTCAGTTGCTATTTGGTTATTTGCTGTTTTATGCCAAACATTTTGGTGTTTTTTGGCATCTAGATTCCTTTTCCCTCCTCCCTCCTGTTGTTATCAGTTGTTTACTGTTTATTTCACTCCCTGTGTTCATGTAGTCTGGCCTACCTGTTGCTCTTCACCAGATCACTGTTGGTTTCCCTGTTTTGAGTCTGTGCATTCCTGCTTCATAGGTTTTTTTGCTTAACACCAAATAAATACTCGTTATTTGTTTGTTTCCAACATTTCCGCATTATAACCCATCAACAATACACAAGTGAATTTAATAAAATAAAACCAACAAAAGCTAAAATTGGTCAGCCCCTTATTCATAAGAAAGCACAGTAAAACCCACAAGTCTGAGTATATTTTCCAGACATAATAAATCCTTAATTATTAACCTGTGAGCACTCAGAGCAACGCTGTCATGGGAAACATATTGAACTTTGAGGACAGAGACAAAGTATTCCTAGTATTGGCTTGAGTTTTATCTACTGAGGCTCCTTTAAAGACATATTGTTGCAAACCAACTATATGAACAACTTTAAAAATATGATTTAAATATCAAAGTACCCCTAGGTGTACTGTACACACAGTTATCTTTGCAACAAGAAAAAAATAAGCACATTGAAGTGGAATCAATTTAGTTTTTTTTCTGCTAATATTTTTTGTGTTAAACTTCAAATTATATTTACATTAAGCAGTTTTTCTGCTTAAATAAAGAATGAATTTATCTTCACCACAGAGTGAGTGTGCACCTTTCAGTAACATTTCTACATGCAAAAACAAGAGGCAGCAGGTCTGAACTTTTCCATGTAAACGGCTGATTTGCATAAGCTATCATGAGATAAGAGTCACAACAGTGGAAGTTTCAGGGTGTGGAGCACCGCTGTGAGCAAGGTGTGGCTGATCAAATGAGTTCAGTTACCTGGGTAAATAAAGTTTGGTTATATGGTCAAACAAAACCAATAAAAAAAAAACCAAAGGGATATGGGATATTGTATAAAAACAAGACAGGGTGAGATTAATTTAAAAAAAAAAAACTGACCATGCACTGAAATCACTTTTATTTCTTTGCTGACAAACACTGGATAAAAATAATGCTTGTTAAAGCTCACAATGATCTAAAGTAACTTGACAGATGATTCATTTGGTATCTATCAAAGTTTAGATTATTATTATTTTCTGACAAAAGCTGGACTGATTTTTTTTTTTAAGCAAAACTGTGTCAAAGCTCAAAATGATGAGACAGGAGCATGAAGGTTTCCGGGTTTTTTCCATCTAGTCGGAGTCGCTGCTGCAGGAGCTGCTGGAAGACTACAACAGAGAACATGAGTCGTGTTATTCATCAAAACTCACGAGAAGCTCAGTTTGTCAAAGTTTATCTAGCATTTAAAAAAGGCTGTCATGCAGGTATTGCAAGTTTTGCAAAAGCACTATGAAAAATACATTTCTGTGTTTTCCTGTGAGTTGCAAGTCCACAATTTGGTTGTGTTGTACAAATTTCTCATGTTATATGTCACACTTTGAATTTGTGGTTCGGTGCAATCAGTCTTACCCCGTGGCTGTCCTTTCCTTTCTTGTGACAGTGGCCATGCTTGTGACCGTGCTTGTGCTTATGTTTGTCCTTTTTCTTGTCCTTTTTCTTGTCCTTGTGTCCATGTCCGTGTCCATGTCCATGTCCGTGTCCATGGCCGTGCCCTTGGCAGGATCCTTGGCCTTGACAACAACCAGAACCAGGTCCGTGCCCATGTCCGTGTCCTCCATGTGGCCCATGGTGCTGAGGAGGACAGGTTGGTGGGACAGTCCCTGGAGGATAACCCTGTGGAGGGTAACCCCCCTGTGGAGGGTAACCCCCCTGCGGTGGGCAACCCCCCTGCGGAGGATAGTTCGGGTAACCAGGTGGGCCTAAAAAAAAGGAGAAATGAGGAATCAGCTGTAAGTTCAAGGTGATGATTGAGGGGGCGATCTAAAAGAGTCGTGTTTACCTTGGTTGTGTCCGTACATTTTGCTGCGTTACCAGGAGAAACTGCAGGTCCTGAAGAATAAAAACACAGATTTTAAATGAAAATCTTTGATAAACACAAAGACAAGAGTATCACAGGTGTATCACAGGTGAACATACCGAGTGCTGAGACCAGATCTGCAGATGCAGACGTCACCTGCTGCTGCTTTTTATGTGCAGCTGAACCTGAAGCAGGGGCTGAGTCTGAACTCCTATCAGACTATTTTCTGTTTTATGACCTACATGGGTGTGTGTGTACAATCATTAATATACAGTCAGCAAACTAGATTTTATAAGAGTGCACACCCACCGACCCACATGATCTATTTTGCCCTGTGGTTAGAGATTTTTTTTTTAATCGTTTGCAGTCCTGCAAAACTTTTGAATACTTGGTGTCACCTGTTGATGCTTATAAAGCTGAGCATCTGCACAGACGTTATGCACAGTCAACACACAGGCGCATCGGTGCAGGTTTCATATTATTATTGAAGGAGACACGTTACATTTCTGCTGAATTCTGCACTGGTTTGTGATGGAAATTTCTTAATCATGAAATTAAAGCACCACGTTGCAATTCAGAAGTAGTCCTTGACTTCTTTCATTGTGTCATTTGGGGGTAGAAAGTACAAATACATGTAATATTGGGAGAGACATGTCTGCTGCATTTCCCTGAAATCTAAACTCATACGTAAGATGATTCTTTTCTCACAGAAATTAATATTTCCAGGCTTAAGGCGACATTAATCTCACTTGTGCACTGAACACACTTTTTGTTGTAATCAGATATGAAAACTGCACCACCCACTGGAATTAAGACACAAAGTTTCCATCCACAGGATGCAGTACACAGATTAAATGGCACAAAAGAAACCATAAACTGTGATAAAAAACTGAATTAAAGTGGCTGTACTGGGAGCTGCAGGGTGTGTAACAGGAGAAAAACAGCACTGAACAAAGGTCCAACCTGCCCTGAGTAAATAAAGATAAGGCACAGAGAGGAAGCAGAACAGCTGAGGTCAAATATAAAGTGGCACAAATGTGGGGACTGACTGTTTTTAAGATCGATTTAGTATAATACAAAAAACACTTGAATGATCATAATTTAACTCAGATACTGTTAGGAACAACCCTCTGCTTGTTACATTTATTTAAAGTCTGCTTCACGTCAGCACGTTGACTGCTGTAAAAGAGCCAGAGGCTCTACTAGCAGCTGAGCATCATTTAAACACCACAACCTGCCGGAGCTTTGATGCCATCCCTTTATGACCACAGTGTGCCCACCTTCTTCCACCATGTTAACACACCACATGACAAAACCCCTATACTCTCAAACTGGTTTCTTAAGCATGACAATGAGTTCTCTGTGCTTCAATGGCATCCACAGTCAGCAGATCTTAATCAAATAGCCTAATAACCTAAGCTAATCTAGGAGTGGTCCTCCTAACACAGCTGCACACTGATTTTAGTTGCACCTTCTCAAGTATAGATAAACAGTAGTTAAGCCTATGCAGCACACAAAGACTCATGCACCACTAGGCCAGCAGGGGCTGCACAGGGATCATGTTTAATATGAGTACCCACCACTATAACAGGACACACATGAAAGTGAGAAAGAGGCCATAAAGAAAATAAATACATCTTTGTTCTCAAATTCAAATTTATTACCACAGAGATAGATACAAAGTCACCATTATAGGCTCACTGTGTGTTTTACATGATCTAAAAGTGTGTTTGCATTTCTTGGGCCAAAAACAGGTTTATATTTGAGTAAACACAAGATTTTTACATCATAAAAATGATTTTTGTAATGTGTCACGAAGATTTCCAGGTGGAATGTGTTTCATGGAGAAGTCTTCTAGTCAGAGTCACTGCTGCAGGAGCTGCTGGAGGACTGCAGGAGGGATAAACACAAGATATTTTAAATACTCTGAAAGTATCTAGCACACTGATTTAATCTCAGTTTTATATCCTCCATTCTGAGTTATTGTAAAAGTGATGGCATCAGATCATCAAGGTTGTTGGCTCAGTGTGACCAACTGTGACAAATTCAGACAAGACTGAGCAAGTTATAAAAACATCAGTGTTGAAAGTCGATACTTGGTGAGTTACACTTGGATAAAATGCTTCACTGAAAATCGGTTTTCAGGAAGGATTGCGCAAACTTGCTAGTGTCATCATACCTCACCTCTGTTTGAACTGCTATTCAGTAGTGCAGTGCTGCACTCCTGAATTCTACCCTGTTCGTAGCCTTTCCTTTCCCAAATGTTCACAGCTGGGACACTGGCTTTAATAACCTTTACTCTAAAGCACTAGTCGTGAAAACCAAAACAATAAGTCTTAGGTTGT